TTCTAGTATCATTATCGTCCCAGATTAATCATAGAAATTGTGATAAGATATTCATCAACACAAATAATATATATTGTAATAAATCTATATTAATATAATTATTATTATAAAGATTATAAGCCGTGACAGGATGAACAATTTCAGTAGCACAAGTTCATTTTTAACAGTAATTTATACTTTGAATAATTAAATATTAAGAAATCAGAAATGACTTCACTTTCTCGATATTAATCACACTGCTTATTGATTTTCCCAAAACTTTATTTGAATTTCAATCAAGAAACAAATAACACAATTCATTGATCCAAAATCTCCATAACACTGATAACCTTTCTCAATCATATCAACATCAAAGTTCCCCCCCCCCCATGTAAATCACAATAACAAAACTCTGAATTGTTTATATATCATTACATTTCAGCCGGTTAACAGATAGCCCTGTGAGTGCATCAACATTACCAGCCGGTTAACAGCATGAGTGCACATCACATTCCAGCCGGTTAACAGATGGCCCGTGAGTGCATCAACATTACATCTCAGCCGGTTAACAGATGGCCCTGTGAGTGCATCAACATTACATCTCAGCCGGTTAACAGATGGCCCTGTGAGTGCATCAACATTACATTTCAGCCGGTTAACAGATAGCCCTGTGAGTGCATCAACATTACATTTCAGCCGGTTAACAGATGGCCCTGTGAGTGCATCAACATTACATTTCAGCCGGTTAACAGGCCCTGTGAGTGGCATCAACATTACATCTCAGCGGTTAACATTTAACCTGTGAGTGCATCAACATTACATCTCAGCCGGTAACAGATAGCCCGTGAGTGCATCAACATTACATTCAGCCGGTTAACAGATGGCCCCGTGAGTGCATCAACATTAGATTTCAGCCGGTTAACAGATGGGTGAGTGCATCAACATTACATTCAGCCGGTTAACAGATGGCCCCGTGAGTGCATCAACATTACATTTTCAGCCGGTTAACAGAATACGTGAGTGCACCAACATTACATTTCAGCCGGTTAACATTTAACCCTGTGAGTGCATCAACATTACATCTCAGCCGGTTAACAGATAGCCCCGTGAGTGCATCAACATTACATCTCAGCCGGTTAACAGATAGCCCCGTGAGTGCATACATTAACATTTCAGCGGTTAACAGATGGCCCCGTGAGTGCACCAACATTACATTTCAGCCGGTTAACAGATAGCCCCGTGAGTGCATCAACATTACATTTCAGCCGGTTAACAGACCCGTGAGTGCTTCACATTAATTTCAGCGGTTAACAGTAGCCCCGTGAGTGTGACCAACATTACATTTCAGCCGGTTAACAGATTTAGCCCTGTGAGTGCATCAACATTACATTTTCAGCCGGTTAACAGATGGCCCCGTGAGTGCATCACAACATTACATTTCAGCGGTTAACAGATGGCCCGTGAGTGCATCAACATTACATTTCAGCCGGTTAACATCTGAGTGCATCAAATTACATTTCAGCCGGTTAACATTTAACCCTGTGAGTGCATCAACATTACATTTCAGCCGGTTAACATTTAACCCTGTGAGTGCATCAACATTACATTTCAGCCGGTTAACATTTTAATCTGCCCCGTGAGTGCATCAACATTACATTTCAGGCCGGTTAACATGGCCCTGTGAGTGCATCAACATTCAACAAGTTACATCTCAGCCGGTTAACAGATAGCCCCGTGAGTGCATCAACATTACATCTCAGCCGGTTAACAGATGGCCCCGTGAGTGCATCAACATTACATTTCAGCCGGTTACAGTGGCCCTGTGAGTGGCATCAACATTAACATCTCAGCCCGGTTTAACATTTAACAACCCTGTGAGTGCATCAACATTACATCTCAGCCGGTTAACAGATGGCCCCGTGAGTGCATCAACATTACATCTCAGCCGGTTAACAGATGGCCCTGTGAGTGCATCAACATTACATCTCAGCCGGTTAACAGATGGCCCTGTGAGTGCATCAACATTACATTTCACCGGTTAACAGATGGCCCGTGAGTGCATCAACATTACATTTCAGCCGGTTAACAGATGGCCCTGTGAGTGCATCAACATTACATTTCAGCCGGTTAACAGATGGCCCTGTGAGTGCATCAACATTACATCTCAGCCGGTTAACAGATGGCCCTGTGAGTGCATCAACATTACATTTCAGCCGGTTAACAGATAGCCCCGTGAGTGCATCAACATTACATTTCAGCCGGTTAACAGATAGCCCTGTGAGTGCATCAACATTACATCTCAGCCGGTTAACAGATGGCCCCGTGAGTGCATCAACATTACATTTCAGCCGGTTAACAGATCCCTGTGATGCACCAACATTACATCTCAGCCGGTTAACAGATAGCCCCGTGAGTGCATCATTACATTTAACAGATGGCCCTGTGAGTGCATCAACATTACATTCAGCCGGTTAACAGATGAGTGCATCAACATTACATTCAGCCGGTTAACAGATGGCCCGTGAGTGCATAACATTACATTTCAGCCGGTTAACAGATGGGCCTGTGAGTGCATCACATTACATTCAGCCGGTTACAGAGCCCCGTGAGTGCATCAACATTACATCTCAGCCGGTTAACAGTGGCCCTGTGAGTGCATCAACATTACATTTCAGCCGGTTTAACAGATGGCCTGTGAGTGCATCAACATTACATCTCAGCCGGTTAACAGATGGCCCTGTGAGTGCAATCAACATTACATCTCATTAACAGATTGAGTGGCCGGTAACAGATGGCCCTGTGAGTGATCAACATTACATTTCACAGCCGGTTAACAGATGGCCCTGTGAGTGCATCAACATTACATCTCAGCCGGTTAACAGATGGCCCTGTGAGTGCATCAACATTACATTTCAGCCGGTTAAAGATGGCCTGAGTGCATCAACATTACATTTCAGCCGGTTACAGATGGCCCCGTGAGTGCATCAACATTACATCTCAGCCGGTTAACAGATGGCCCCATGAGTGCATCAACATTACATTTCAGCCGGTTAACAGATGGCCCTGTGAGTGCATCAACATTGCATTTCAGCCGGTTAACAGATGCCCTGTGAGTGCTCATTACATCTCAGCGGTTAACACGTGAGTGCATCAACATTACATTCAGCCGGTTAACAGATAGCCCTGTGAGTGATCAACATTACATTCAGCCGGTTAACAGATGGCCCCTGAGTGCATCAACATTACATTTCAGCCGGTTAACAGATGGCCCGTGAGTGCATCAACATTACATCTCAGCCGGTTAACAGATGGCCCCGTGAGTGCATCAACATTACATTTCAGCCGGTTAACGGATGGCCCTGTGAGTGCATCAACATTGCATTTCAGCCGGTTAACAGATGGCCTGTGAGTGCCATTACATTTCAGCGGTTAACAGATGGCCCGTGAGTGCATCAACATACATTTCAGCCGGTTAACAGATGGCCCTGTGAGTGCATCAACATTACATTCAGCCGGTTAACAGATGGCCCGTGAGTGCATCAACATTACATTTCAGCCGGTTAACGGATGGCCCTGTGAGTGCATCAACATTACATTTCAGCCGGTTAACAGATGGCCCTGTGAGTGCATCAACATTACATTTCAGCCGGTTAACAGATGGCCCTGTGAGTGCATCAACATACATTTTCAGCGGTTAACAGATAGCCCGTGAGTGCATCAACATTACATCTCAGCCGGTTAACATGGCCCCATGAGTTAACAGTTTACAGCCCCGTGAGTGCATCAACATTACATTTCAGCGGTTAACAGATGGCCCTGTGAGTGCATCAACATTACATCTCAGCGGTTAACAGATGGCCCCGTGAGTGCATCAACATTACATTTCAGCCGGTTAACGGATGCCCGTGAGTGCATCAACATTACATTTCAGCCGTTAACCCTGTGAGTGCATCAACATTACATTTCAGCCGGTTAACAGATGGCCCTGTGAGTGCATCAACATTACATTTCAGCCGGTTAACAGATGGCCCCGTGAGTGCATCAACATTACATTTCAGCCGGTTAACAGATGGCCCTGTGAGTGCATCAACATTACATTTCAGCCGGTTAACAGATGGCCCTCGTGAGTGCATCAACATTACATTTCAGCGGTTAGATGGCCCCATGAGTGCATCAACATTACATTTCAGCCGGTTAACGATGGCCCTGTGAGTGCATCAACTTACATTTAGCCGGTTAACAGATGGCCCTGTGAGTGCATCAACATTACATTTCAGCCGGTTAACAGATAGCCCCGTGAGTGCATCAACATTACATCTCAGCCGGTTAACAGATGGCCCTGTGAGTGCATCAAACATTACATTTCAGCGGTTAACAGATGGCCCGTGAGTGCATCAACATTACATCTCAGCCGGTTACAGACCTGTGAGTGCATCAACATTACAATGGCCCGTGAGTGCAATCAACATTACATTCAGCCGGTTAACAACCCTGTGAGTGCAGCCGGTTCCCCGTGAGTGCATCAACATTACATTCAGCCGGTTAACAGATGGGCCTGTGAGTGCATCAACATTTACATCCAGCCCAGATAGCCGTGAGTGCATAACATTACATTCAGCCGGTTAACAGATGGCCCTGTGAGTGCATCAACATTACATCTCAGCCGGTTAACAGATGGCCCTGTGAGTGCATCAACATTACATTTCAGCCGGTTAACATTTAACCCTGTGAGTGCATCAACATTACATTTCAGCCGGTTACAGCCCTGTGAGTGTCAGCGGACCTGTGAGTGCATCAACATTAATTTCAGCCGGTTAACATTTAACCCTGTGAGTGCATCAACATTACATCTCAGCCGGTTAACAGATGGCCCTGTGAGTGCATCAACATTACATTTCAGCCGGTTAACATTTAACCCTGTGAGTGCATCAACATTACATCTCAGCCGGTTAACAGATGGCCCTGTGAGTGCATCAACATTACATCTCAGCGGTTAACAGATGGGTGAGTGCATCAACATT